AGGACCCATCTCTGCAAATAAAGGGCACTGACGACGGCGCCGTTGTAACCCAGCCATGGTTGGAGGAGGGTTAGTACCAATGCAGCAAAACGCAAGTGGTTTAGAGATTCGTGGAAAATCAAATGGACGGCTTTCATATAAGGAACCATCTATATATAACCTTAACTCACTTTCGGCTTTTCCAAGAAGCCCTTGCCTATAAGAGTGTTCAAGACCAATAAAATACCAACACTGTGGCTTAAATGCATGAGTAAAGTGCAAAGAAGCTTTCCTTCCTTTCCCACTACCACATTCAACAACCAAAAACTGCGCATGGAAGTATGCTTCCATCCCTTGATTATCAGCAGATAAGAAGCTGAATAACCTTGGCATGTGGACTGTGCCTTCACCAGCTAGTGCACTAGCTGCAGCAGCAGCTGACATAGCAGATGATTTCCCTGATGTGGCAGCAGCAGCAGCAGCAATTGCAGCTGCAACAGTAGCTGTATTCAAAGTATCAGCAAATGACTCGATATAGATCCATGTAGCAAATGCATATCCATTGATGAAAGGCCATCGGCTATCCCCTGGGCCAAGTAAACCAGAACTTTCCCCATCAAACTCAAAGGTACATGATGGACCCTTTGACTCTTTTCCAGCCATGGCCTTCTCCAAAGAGAGCATCAAGCAAGAGGCCCATTTAGTGGCAACTATTCTTGTGATTACTTCATACCAGCTACGCAGGTCCCTTGCTGTAAGTGAATGTCCAGCTAAGTGCTGAATGCAATAGCATAAAGGAGTTCCATCCCATTTCATTTGCTCTGTTGTAGCACCATCCTGAACAAAAATCTTCTCTGCTGACCGCAGCAAGACACTTAATAAACCAGCTGAGGAGCACATTGCTCGGTTTCTAGTGCAAGCACACAAAATAGCAAGCAACCCTCTTACCATCCGAGTTCTAGGGGACATAAGACCTGCAATATCCCCTGTAGAAGAAAGCCAGGGAATGATCTCACCTGCCACAATGGCAGCTCTAGAATTCAGCATCACACTGGGTGGATTATTATCCCCATCCTCCTCGAAAGACTCAACACCACCCATTGTGCCAAGAAGTGAATCAATTACCAAGAATGCAATAGTGTCAGCATCCTCTCCATCTCCAAAACTCTGGGCACCGCTTACAATATTTTTCAGCTCATCCAAGCTTTCAGGCTTTCCCATAATAGCAGAGTCTATTAAATGCAAGAGCTCTGGAGGCACATTTCGAGTAACCTGTTTTGGCTTGGACTTCTGTGGTGAGTCCACAGCGACATATTCAGTATCCCCATATGAATACACTGCAGAATCAATGCTGACTGAAGTGCAGGACTGTCTAATGTCATCACCAGAAGCAGATTGCATATCAAGCCCAGGGCTTGAAACATGGTGGTCATGACGTATCTCAGAAACTGCAGGAGAACTAAGCCTAGACGGAACATTCAAAGAGGAAAGTTCAAAGTTATCCCCGCTCCCACCCAATGAGAGTCTCACATTATTAGAGCCTGAAAATTGAGAATCATTTGAATCAGGCCCACCTTTATGCTGATTTTGCAGTGAAGCATGCTCGAGCAGATCATCATTTACTACTACAACTTCTGCCTTAACTCCTCCTGAAACTACACTATTATGCTCAACATCATTTTCTGTCTGTGGTATTCCTACACTTTCATTTCTGTCATGGCCTTCTTCATCTGATCCTGCCCCTTCACCATCATTTTTTTCATGCTCTTTGGGGTCCTCTTCTTCCATTTACAGAATGCTATATTTGATAAGAGGAGAAGTACACTATCACATGCTGAACTAACTTGTATGTCATCAAAATCCAGCTAAATGAACAAGTAACACTCAAATTGGAGTCCCTGCCACTGTACCCCCTTTTTCCTGATATAAAAAGATAAACAAGTTTTGACATCAAAATCAATCTAAGGGAAAACGCAACTCATCAACAATGATTTCTTTCTACATACTAGACAGAAGTAACAGAACTAACTTCCACTAAGCTTTCAGCCTATCCACAACACTAAAATCCTTCAACTCAGCCAAAAAAAAAAAAAAAAAAAGCAATGGTGAACAAACTGTAAGTGATCAATAGATAAATGCAGGAAATATCATGTTCGTTGTCCCATTAACTAGTCAGTTACTTCGGAAATGATGTAACTATCACTAACCAAATACCAGCAAACAATACTAGCTTTATCCTAAATCCACAAAGTAAGGCCAGGCCACGCAGTTGAGCTACAGATCCACTGTTATGCAATGTACACGGATGTGCTCTCCCGCGTCAAAGCCCAATGAATCATACACATGTTGCATCTTAGATGCAAGCAGAAATAGACATTCACGCATTTGAGAATCGGAATGCCGGCGGATCAGAATGCAATTTACAGCTATATCGATCATGTATGTATATGTCTATTTTACGTATACAAGAAGAAAGGAGCATCGGAAGATGACTGTGTGACGTTACCTTCCCGGAACTTGGATCCGGAATCCAAATGCAGTGACGGGATACTTCACGGATTTGAACTTGTCTTTAATTGCAATAAACTGACGAAATATATACGAAGATCAAAGGAAGAAATGAAGAAGACAGAAGGAGGACGAGCTTGCAAAGGAGGGGGAAATCGAAATCCGCTGACCGCGAGGCCGCGAGAGAGAAGGCCGAGCCTGCTAACTATGTCTTGCGGGCCTTCATTGAGGTTAACGGACTTGTCATATCTAAGCCCGTTTGGCCCTTTGGTCGTTTGATTGTCCAGTGTCTACCAATGTCGGTGTTGGTTTTTTTTTTTTTTTTTTAGAAAAAGTGTCAAATTGGCCCCTTAAGTCGAGTGGATAATGTAATTGGGTTCCCTAAGTGAAAAAAGCTTCATTCAGGTCCCTTAAACCTGTAAAATTGTTCAATTAAGTTCAGGTTGACTTGTTTATCAAGTTAAATGCATACGGTGTTGACACGTGTCCTTATTTTATTTTTTTTATTGAAAGTATTATTTATTATAAATTAATTAAAATAATAATAACAATTAAAAAAATTATTTTGTATTAAAATATTATTTATTATAAATTAATTAAAATAATAATAATAATAATAATAATAATAATTTAAAAAAAAAAAAAAAACAACAGTGGCCGGACGGCTACGGCCGTCTAAGAAAGACGGCCATGGCCGACGAATTATTATTATTTATTTAATTTATAATAAGTATTTTTAATAAAGAATAAATTTTTTTAATTATTATATTTTAATTAATTTATAATAAATAATATTTTTATAAAAAATAAAATAAGGACACGTGTCAACATTGTATGCATTTAACCTGATAAACAAGTCAACATAGACTTAATTGAACAATTTTATAGGTTTAGGGGACCTGAATGGAGCTTTTTTCACTTAGGGGACCCAATTGCACTGTCCACTCGACTTAGGGGGCCAATTTGACACTTTTTCCTTTTTTTTTTTAAACCACAAAATGGTCAAGTCTTTCTCTGTTGTTTAATAGTTCAGGTCTACTTGACTAATCTCCGTTAGTTTCGAGAGGCACGAGAGCTGAGCTAAGAAGAATCGTCACTTGTGAGAATCAAACTCTGGTTATTCAGAAATTCTCCTCCACAAAGAAAGTGTCGGTGTTGGTTTTTATTTGGCAAAGAAAAATAATTATTTGACTCTCGAAATTTATTCTTACATGTTACTCTTTCACACAAATTTTTAATCTAGATATTTTTTTGGAGTCAATAACTTATTATTATTTTGTCACGTCATGAAGTAAAAGCGATCGATTAGATACTTTCTCAATTTTTTCTGTGATCTATCATTCATTTTGAATGGTAATAGAGGGCAAGTGTAGCTTAGTATTGGTTAATAAAGTCAATTTATAGTACCTAAACAATACATGTGACAGAGCAATGGTGCTAGCACCCGGCCCGAGTTGTCAACATGCACCTGACCCGGCACCACGTGGAAACCCAACGGGCAGAACTCGAACAGACATAACTCCAACAGACAGAATACCAACGGGTGGAACATTACTATGGGTCATTTAGTATGCCCATTGAAGAAAGAAAAATAAAGGCTTGGCTCCTCATTATGTCTCATTATGTCCGTTAGGGGCATATAAATAGAACCTCTCATCAGCTAGAGGCGACACGCTGATTATTCTGTACTGAAACACTTAGCAATACAACAATTCGTTATTCTTACATTATATTTCCGGTAACATACTTACCGTCAAGTCGTCAACATGTTTATATCTTACCAATATCCCATTGGTCGAGTCGTCGTACAAGCACCTTTTAGGCAATTTAATTTTATTGTGTGGTGTTCATCTACTAGTATCCTCAAAACGGGCCGCACATAAAAGATTTATTGAAACCAACCATTTGGTGGAGCAAACTTTAAAGCGCGCATTTTGATCCATCTCACTCTCGCATGCTATGACCCCACTATCAAAGTTTGATTTTGTGACATTTTCTCAAGAGGAGTAACAAATGTGTCATCTTAGCACAATGTGCTTAATAGTTTAAACAAATATTAATATAATTTGTTAAAGTGTTTTATAACACTAAATAGTAAACACACAATATATAGATAATTCATGCAACATTATTCCAAAGTTGAATGTGTATTATTCGAATTGTATGTAATAATTAAGTTGAAACATGTTAACCTATTGATTAGGTATATGCTCTAAATCATTATGAATAACCCATCAACCTAGCATTGATTAGCCAACAACCCAAGAGCATGAGTCCGCGAGATCTACTGCTATGGCCTAGGAAGGCTAAGATCTATCATTCAAGATTTACTAGTCATCATCACTCGAAGTTTGTTGGTTGGGATCTACCAACTAGTTGTGCTCATTACTCTCAATTTGTACCCAAACCAATTATACTAGTTGTACGTGTACAGTTACATCAATAATAGTTGAGTTTAGTTTCAGATGTGCATATGCATAGACATAGGGTAACATGCATGGGCAACAAATAGGTCTTGTACTCATATATGCATAGTTTTAAGCATAATCAACTAGCTTAACAACTCTTCAGTTTCACCTTTTATTTTATAACTTTTCAGATACTTTTCAACTAAGTTTACTAAACATAGCCAATGTAACTAATTACACGAAACGGGTGATGTTTCTTTTAATCGTTTTGAACCATGGTTCACAGTAAAATTTGCCGTTTTGCCATTAGTCGCTCAATCTGTGAAAAACACGAACTTGTAATCCCCCGTCAATGTGAAGATTGATCATAGTCCTGTAGTTAACAGCTTTCCTTTCATCAGCCAGCTTGAAACCAAAGAACCGTAAAAGAACTGCAGAGAAGATCTTCATTTGCCTGTACGCAAACTCCTTTCCCAGACATATCCGCGGCCCAGCCTATCACCACAACAGTATTTTCATTCCTTGATGATATGAAAGCTAAACTTAAGTTCTATTTAGCTTCAAGCTTAATTAGATTTGGCTAACCTGAAAAGCTGTCAATTTGAAGGGGCTCTCAGGCCTGAAACAGCCATTCTCGTCTAGCCATCTCTCGGGCTTAAATTCTTCTGCATCATCGCCCCATATAAACCGCATTCTCCCCATTGCATATGGTTGGTAAGCCACCATATCACCTTTCTTCACACTAAACCCATCCGGTAACGTGTCGTCTGAAAAACTTATTTTTGCATCCTAGTTTCAGACAATTCCAAGATATTATAGTCAGTCTAAACATGACTAAGGGTCTGTTTGGAAAGCAGGAAAATGACTTATGGAACAAAGGAAATCTTAGTTTACCACAGGAACTGCAGGATAAAGCCTGAGAGTCTCAGTCAATGCAGCATGAAGGTATGGCATATTCTCCAGGGCTTCTTCTCTCAAATTGGCAGCAAAATGAGCAAAGTTTCTTGCATCTGCCGTCTTTGTTGCTTCTTGTATCTCTTGCACGATTTTTTCCTGTACGAGTGGATGCTTGCAAAGCATATATATAAACCAGGCTAGAGTTACTGCTGTTGTGTCTTTGCCAGCAATTACAAAGTTCAGTATTATATCTCGCAAGTACTTTGGTTCTGTCTCAGTCAACTGTAGAAACCTCGATAAAATGTCTTCTTTCTTCCAGCTCAACTGCAAAAACCAAAAAGGTTATGGTTTTTAAGCATTACTTAGGACAATCTATTAAACATGAATGATACCTACTGAGGAATCATCCCGGGCATTATGCATTTGCTCGATCTTGCTTTGAATTAGCTTGAACACGAAGTCATTAACGATTTGGATACTTTTCTTTAACTTGGCTTCTGACCCAATATTGAGAGCCTTTTTGAGCTTCCAAAAGATATCAACATATCTCCAAAGTGTCATTGCACTTGCATCATCAAACGCGGCGTTGAACTTGGCGCCTTCTTCACTCGAACCACACATGCTATCCAGTTCAACTCCAAACGCAACTCTAAATATCGAGTCTAAAGTCGATTTCATGAACAAATCCTGCATCAAAAGCCAGATTATTATCAAGTTAAACTAAAAGAATTTCACTCAGTTTTTAGGTAAGTTGAGACAGTGGAAGCTAACATGGATATCAACTGTGTTCTTGAAATCTGCAACTTTAGACAAAATGTTAGCAAGCTTCACAACGTTTCTTCTAAAGATCACACTGCTAAAATCTCTTAACACTCTTGTAGAAAACTCGTGGCTCGATAACTTCCTCTGCTCTTTCCACTTAATACCATCAACTGCAAAAATCCCATCTCCTAACAAGTCCTTCAGAATGGTATAGTTGTGACCCCCCTGCAAATACCTCAAATATCTCAAATTGAAAGACACAAAGCCCAAACTGCTTTTGCTATCTAACTATAAAGCCAATAAAATGAAAGAGAATTTCAGAATTTCAATTTTTACAACACCATAAGTGCACAGTACTACTGTCAAAAAGAGATTACTAGTTTAGTTCACAATATATTAACTGGATTAACTATTATCATGCCAATCTGAATGCACAGTCTACTTTAATGATGAGGTAAACAAGTATAAAGTAGAGACGATATATATTTGTTGAGATTAACACGAACAATAAATAATAATAATGGCAGAAAGGGTAAAGAAGACAAGATTTACGTGGTTCGGCAAAGTGCCTACATTCACGGGAGTGAAACAATACTCTTATTCACAGTGATGATGAGTGATGATGATAGTGGTGACATAACCCCTTAGGGATACAACCAATAATTTATAGACATCTAATCTCTGTACAATGGGTCTACCTGTTTCTCCTACTCACGAACTCATATTCTTAATCCATATATGAGACAAACTCAACAATATCTAAGAAATTGGATTAAAAAAAAAAATTAAAAGGGAGATTTCAAGAAACTTGCAGACCTTGCCATAGTTGTCAAAGTTGGTTTTGAGAATATACTCAACGTTAACCGGGTCGGAGGTATAAATCTCATTCCGGAAAGGGCTGATTAGCCGGTAAGTTCTGTACTTTCCGGCGAGATCCGTCATGTAATGGTGCAGCCTATGGAAGTTGATCAGCTGGTGGAAAACAGTGCCGCCAACCGGGTGGTATTTCTTCGCCGCCGTCTTCTTCCTCCCATCCTCGCCGCCCTGCAACTTTCCGACCAGGAAGCGCAGCAAGGCTGCAGAAATAACGGCAACAGAAAGCAAGGCCACTGCAATGGAGATTTGAAGAGGTTCCAAGCCTGCAATCATGTTTAGGGGCATCTTGTTTATCAGTGAGTGCGAGAATTGCATTATATATTTGCCTTACGCGACACAAGATTACGACGTGATTGGCTATCTTCTTGCCAGCGTCTTGTCGAGTTGTAGTTATTTAATGATGATGCTGACTGATCTAAGGAGACTTTAAACAATGAGGAAAAAGATGGGAAGACGAAAGCAGGCGTGGATATGATTATATGATGTTTACACATTCAATTAGGAAAGAAACCATTTTGACCGACAAAAATAGAGAAATACATTTCATGAAGTTTGGAAAGTTTTCATTAGTTAACTATAGGCAGAGATGCTATACATGCACCATGCCGTCATTGGGGCATTGACTGAAATGGTTTAGTTTAAAAAAGGAGTGGATAAAAATAAACAGATTTTAAATATTGTTTATAGTAAAAAACACAAGTTTTAAATGGAGTTTCTTAAATTTTTGTAATGATTTTTTTTTTCTTTCGCTTTAAATATGAGGATACGCCAAAAACAAATTCTACTTGCATTTATCGTATTTGACAAACTCTATTGAAATTTGCATTTTTTTGCTAAAAACGTAAATTTCAATGGAGTTTTTTTTTTTTTTTTTTTTTTTTTTTAAATAAAAAAATTGTCCATGTTTCAAAATTATCCCATTTTATTCTTCTTGGTTAAAAAGTTTACCTTTCACTCAATTTTCCCTAGTCTTTCGGTTGATTTGAGAAATAATGAGACGTTTGGTTGGAGGGAGGGAATGATGTGAGAAAGGAATTGCAATTCCATTGGAGATGAATTACTATGAATAAATTGAGAATTTAAATTCGTTTACAAGAATATAATTATTGAGAATTTCAATTTCAATATGTGGTATACAATAAAATTGAAATTGAATAAGTAGTATAAAGTCCAAAATATCTATTGTTGTCGTGGGCATCAATTTTAAGATTTATAAAAGTGAGGAGTAATTTTGTTTCGTGATTTTTTTTTTCTTCCTAAAATCCGTGAAATTAAAATCTCATGGGGACATGAGATTTTAATTCCAACCAAATTAAGGAATTTAGTGGCCTTTGAAATTATGTGAGAATTAAGTGATAATAAAATTTAAATTCTCTTCGACCAAACACCTATAAGCATTCATTATTCAATGGTTTATACTAAATAAATTTAATTTGTGACTTTGGCTAGCTAAGTACCATAAAAAAAAATAAATTAGTTTAAGTTGTTTAATAATTGATTAAATCAAATTATGAAGATTAATAAACAATTTTTATGAGAGTCTAACTTTAAAAAAAAAAAATTATTAGTTTCCTATTACATGTACTCTCTCAAATTTACTCTTTGGAGGGTGTTGATAAGTTATTTTCTTCATGTAAGCTCTGATAAAAATATATACACCAAAATTTCAAGTGTACATGGGGATGTGATTGAGTGGAACAAACTTATCTATCCTAAACTAAAAGTTAATTGTTTAATCATTGACTTTAGGTATAGAACAACTTTAAATCTCCAGACTAATTGTTCCATCCAAAAGAAATATACAATTGAAAACCTGGACTTAAAAATAAATAATTCTACATAAACTCTCAAATTGTATTCTCATTTTCTACTTCCTAGCGTGCGTTAATTGAGTAAGAGGTCATATGATATTTTTTATTTTTTACAAAGGAAGGGGAACACCCACATATACTATCTACACCTTCACCAAGGCTCGAACCTAAGACATCCCACATAAGGGGCCAACCGGATACCAGTGGACTACAAGCCACTTGGTAGGTCATATGATATTTATCCCTTCCTTTTTCTCTTCCTCTAATCGAATTAACGAATAAAAGTCACGTGTTGACATGTTGGGGAAATCACGTCAACAGAGGAAAGATTATAGGAGAAACTATAAAAGGTTTTCCTTTATTTTTAGTTAATCGTAGTTTAAGGGAAGTCAAACACGCCTTCTCAGCAATTGGGCGATTATTGTGGTTTTGTATTCTGAGGAGTCTGGAAATATAAAATAATCTTTAAGGCTGCGTTTGGCCTGGTGAAGTGTTGGTGATTGCACTAAACTTCTGCAAGTGGAAGCTCTGAACTTGAAATCGAAGCAACCTAGAAGACAAAGAAATTGAACGAAAAAGAAGTTCACTTTGGAATCTATCTGAAAATGGTCATTATTCTCTTTCTCTATGCATTTGTTGTATAATTGTATGTGTATTTGGCGGGATTGCACTGACTGAGAAATACTCCGCAATCATTTATCTGATCAGATATGAGCTTTCTCAAAGAATTGGCGGAAACCCTAAGCTCGATTTTCTACGATCACCAATCAGCATCTTCTTCTTCTTCGTACCAGTCTCAGCAAAATCCTGACGGTCGACCGATGGACGGCGTGAGCACCGGGAATGAGCGCACGGCATACAAGCTCAAAAGCTACTTTGATTTGGCCAAAGAAGAGATCGCCAAAGCGGTCCGGGCCGAGGAGTGGGGTTTAGCTGAAGATGCCGTTTCACATTACCAAAAGGCGCAGAGAGTTCTGTCGGAAGGCATTTCTACTCCCGTTCCTTCGTATATCACCTCTAGGTATTCCATTTTTTTCGCGCAAATTAAATTGTATGAATCACATGCCAGTAAAAACTGAATCTTTATATCCTACTTTGACAAGATTCACTATTTTTTTTTTTTTAATGATTAGTGATTATGATGAAAGATTATAAGAGAGGTTGAATGTTCTTTGAAACTTAATCTGTGATACAACTTACTAGAGTTAGGCAGCCAGCTATTGGATTTTTTGTTGAAACAATTGTCTGTTTATGGCATACATTTTAATTGAGTTTGTTGTAGATCATTACCATAAGCTGTGCAGAATTTAAGGTAGTTCCAGCTCATTTGCTTTAGTTGTGCTAAATGTGTAAGTGAGAATGCGTAGCTAAGGTTAAAATTACTGAAAAGCTGCTAAAACAAGTTAAAGAGAGGCATTTCGCCTTTTCCTTTTTATAAGTTGCTGCATGTGATCTTGAAAGTAATTGTACAATTATCAGGTAAAACGCATAATGTATTGGTGTATCCTAGTTGAATTCAATTGAGAATAATGTTTTGGTGTACATTTTGTCAAATGAAATACTTAACACAAAAAGTACTGTAAAAGATTAGTATGAACATTCTCCTGCAACCGCATCTAGCACACTGCTGAGTGAATTGGTTACCCCTTTTATGGTTTCTTGACAGTGAATTAGAGAAAGCAAAATCTTATCGGCAAAAGATGTCACAGTGGCAGGGTCAGGTTGCAGAGAGAATTCAAACTTTAAGCCAAAGAGCAGGTTCTTGCTTTAATATGAATCAATTTGTTTTCAAGTTGTGTTACCAAATTTGGAGCATTGCAATGTATTTATATATTATTTATTCCTCATTTCCTCATCATGCTGGCAGGAATTTCCAGTAGTACATCTGTAATCAAGGTATGGGCTGCTTTGCATGAAGTGTAAGTTTTGTATTGTTCTTCAATGTTGTCATATGGTTTTAAAGCAATCTGATTTGATGCCACTTAATGATATTACTTGTGCCTGTGAACTGATATGCATTAGTTTCAGTTTTTCAGAACCCCTCCCTAGTGCCACTGTTGGTGTTGGGGTGCAATTTTCTCCACTCTTTTTCAAGAGATTTCTTTAAAATATTTTATTGAGTTAATTCCATTTTTGGTCCTAGATTTATAGGTGGCAATCCACTTTTAGTCTTTTTTTTTTTTTTTTTTTTTTCAAAAGACCCCCATTTGGTCCTAGTATTATTGTGGCATGACCATTTTTGTTTCTCCATCAACAAAACTGTTTAAATTTCGTAAAATACAAGGAAATTTAGGTCTTCAATTATGATTTTTTTTTTTAAAAAAAAAGTAAAAATAAGATCGAAATGTCCTTGTATTTAATGACATTTCAACGATTTTGTTGGTGGAGGACAAAAAATGGTCATGCCACAATAATACTAGGACCAAATGGGGATGTTCTGAAAAAGGACTAAAAAGTGGAATTAACTCTATTTTATTTAACTTTTGGTTTTTCATTTTCATTCTTTTCCTCATTTTTTCTAAGGCCTAAGGTTTCTGTGTAGTGGTTATGCCACTTAAATGAGTAAATCTTCTTGAATTATTGCAACCAGGTCGGTGGGAGGGCCCTCCAACACCAGGCATTGGGATTAAGTGCTATGTTCTTCTGAATATTATTATTTTCTTTTCAGAGTGGTGCTCCTCGGGTGCAAAGTACATCTGCTCCACCAACAAGCTCTTATCTTAGAAGATCTGCAGTTGAAAAACCTTCTGTCTCCAGTAATGCCAGCGCAGTTAGGATTCAGTCTAACAAAGCAGGAAGCTCAAAACCTGTGCAAAATTCTGGAGGTGGATATGATGCAAAATTGGTTGAAATGATAAATTCTGTGATAGTGGATAGAAGTCCTTCTGTAAAATGGGAAGACATTGGTGAGAATCTTCCTGTTGTCTTCCATTTGTTCCTGTAATTATGTCTGATAATTTACAAAGCAAAACATCTACAGCTGGCCTAGAAAAGGCAAAACAAGCTCTGTTGGAAATGGTAATATTGCCGACCAAAAGACGGGATCTCTTTACTGGCCTTAGAAAGCCTTCAAGAGGTATTATTTTACAGAGGTAAATGGCATTCTAGAACCCAAGAAACAGGATCTATTATGTTTAAAGTTTTCATGTTACAGGCCTGCTTCTTTTTGGTCCACCCGGTACTGGTAAGACCATGCTTGCGAAAGCAGTTGCTTCAGAGTCACAGGCAACCTTTTTCAATGTTTCTGCTTCCTCCCTAACCTCAAAGTGGGTGAGTTTCTCGTTTCTTTGTTCATAAAAATTGTTGCCATAAATTTTATGTTCCAACTTCTGAGTTTTTTACATATGATGACAGGTGGGAGAGGGTGAAAAGCTTGTCCGGACCCTTTTCATGGTTGCCATTTCCAAGCAGCCATCTGTTATTTTCATGGATGAGGTACTATTGCACTAACTATCTTATCAACTGCTTACTTGAGTGGTTGTTCTTGTTGCTTTGTTGTCTCTTCTACAGTATTATGTATGCAACTGTTAATCTGTTAAAGCCTTCTCTTAAAACAAAATAAACATATGGTGATTACCTAAGAAAGTGAAACCTTTATATTTAGATGAGAAATTTATGTTGGTAGTTCTGCACATGTGATCTCTTGAATCAGGATTAAGTTTATCCCTTTGGTGGTGGCAATATGTTAAGTTGATGGTAAGGTGTTGAACAACTTTTTTGGGTAGAAAATAGATGGTTAGAAGTGTAATGGTTAATATATATTTGGACGCCAGGTTGGATGAAGTTTGACCAAAACTGGGAACTGGCTAAAATTGCATTAAAAAAAATCAAAAGTTGATATAAATTGTAAAAATTTAAAGCTTTAGGCTTTTAGCTAAAGACTGCAAATGTTTGGTTTTTTTTTTTTTTTTTTCCAGTTTAAAGAAGAAGCAGCATCCACACATTCTCTTTTCCTTCATTCACATCTCTAAGGAATGGATATAAGGGAACTATAGTGGCAATTTTGCCAGACATTTATATTCATAATTCATCCTTTGTTTGATCCTTACTTTGAGAATATCTCTGTGGTTAACAGATTGATAGTATTATGTCAACTAGGACGGCCAATGAGAATGAAGCCAGCAGGAGGTTGAAATCAGAATTTCTAATCCAGTTCGATGGGGTTACATCTAGTTCAGATGATTTGGTAATTGTCATTGGTAAGATGCATTTATTGTTTGAAATATTCTCCTTGCTGTTTCTGAGGCCATTAATCCATTCTCTTCTGCACAATTTAAACTTGTATGGCTTGTGTTAGTGCAATAACCAGATTGATGGCACTAATAGTGATATTACTCCACATCCATATGTATTTTTTATCACTGCTTTTCTATTTTCCAGTCTTTTGCCATGTCTTACTTTGTCAGCTTGAAACAGTAATCCTCACTGGTTCTATTCTACTCTCAAAGTATATACTTCACTGTACTTTTTTCCTGCCATTTCTAACTTGTCATCTTGTTATTTCAGGTGCGACAAATAAGCCACAGGAATTGGATGATGCAGTTCTCAGGAGATTGGTTAGTATGCTAGTTTTAATTTATCGCTGATTTGAATTCACCCTGCTCCAAGAATTACATGGTTGTGGGTTATGGTGCTGCACAGATCATGGGAATGTATCTTCTTCCATTAATTCTTATATTAAAAAACAAAAGGATATGAAAATGTGCTGTTGCTTGTTTCTTTTAAACTTCCCCAAAAGACTCCTTGGGTGAAATTAAAGGGCAGGTTTGGGGAAGTTGTTGAAGTTGTATGTGTGTAGTTTAAATAATGTCATTCTTTCCACTGTGATATGTTGTGTTACAGTTAATCTACATAATCATATATCAGTTTGCTTCCTGATCCACTTTACTCTACACCCCATGACAGGTGAAGAGAATATATATTCCTTTACCAGATGCTGGTGTTAGAAGACAGCTCCTAAAGCACAGACTAAAGGGGCAACAATTCTCTTTGCCTGGTGAGTAGATATTTGGCAACTGGGATGCATATTACAATAGTTTCGAGTTGAGCTACATTTTTGCTAGACTGCTAGTTAAACACTGTCTTGTCACTTATCTTTGCCAGATGGAGATCTAGCAAGACTTGTGAAAGAGACAGAAGGTAGGAATGTTTACGCCGTATAAGTTGGTTAATGTTCTAGGGAACCTTCATCTCTTGTTCTTGTATAGTTGTATCTTATCTGAAACTGATTCTGAATTTAATTTGACAGGGTATTCTGGAAGTGATCTTCAAGCGTTGTGTGAGGAAGCCGCAATGATGCCAATCAGAGAGCTTGGTTCTAACATTCTCACAGTGAAGGCAAATCAGGTAGCCCTACTCTCTGGTGGTCAACGTTACAGCATGGTTTCTCTAATAAAATTTTGCTTTGCCATAACGCCATTTTCTTCTTAGACACCCCACTGTGCGGTGGCAAATAATACTTGTTTTTTTCCCCTCATTTTGTGATTGTGTGCCTGTGGCGATCTATTTATCCTCAATTTTTCTCTACTCTGCATTCTGGCAAAAGACAGAGATGTGGAAAAAAGAGGGAGAGAATAAAAGAAACCAGAGATAACGAAAGATGAAAACAAAATCAAAATAAAAAGAGACTAAACTCTATGCTTCTCTTATATCATAGATTCATAATTTCTGGTTTAGTTCCTCAAGCTCCTAATTGTAACAACATGGACATGTTTCTTTATTACAACTTCTTAGAGTTTGAACTAATTATGAGTATATAAGAGACGCTTCTGAAGACAACTATACTCGTTTGTAATTCTCGTTACATTGATGCCTAAATTTCTTGTATCTTATGCTGTCGGTGAAACTTACACTCTGGTTTCCAGGTACGAAGTCTGAGATATGCAGACTTTCAGAAGGCCATGACTGTGATCAGGCCTAGTCTGCAAAAAAGCAAGTGGGAAGAGCTTGAGCAGTGGAATAGAGAGTTTGGCGCGAACTAAGAGTTACATATGCATTAGATGACTGCAATTGAGATTTGAGAGATGCACAAGAGGAAAGACTAGCAATGAAAAAAACATGATATAGACATATAGTATAAGTTGTAACCTCCTCATTCCATTCAACTGAAGGCCATCGATATGCAAGATTTAAATATGAATATAATTTGCTCAAAGCCTCAAAATGATATGTACATATGCATTTACAATGATTCAATATCTCAAATGTTTCCAACTTAATTCTAAAATACCTGGGAAGCATTGATTCTACCCTTGAAAATTCACTTGTTACCCGTGAATTTCTCGTTCAGGCTCCCATAGATGGCGCCAATATAGATGTGATTGGGAACTTCTTGTTCAGGTCCCGATGGATGGCGTCAATATGGATGTGATACTGCTATTAACACAGCTTCATACGACTAGCTTTTCTTCGTCTAGACTAGGAAGAGCAACGTCGGCTCTCATTATGCCATCATAGTTACTTCCAACCTTGGCTCCAACTTGAGCAAACAATTCTACAACTGCAGGCAATTTTCCATAGTACCTCTTTAAAGCATCTATTTGAGGCACACCAGAATGTGGATCTTGAACATGCCAAACATACACTGGTGGGACAAGGTCATCTATGGTTGCCTCTTGCCAAGCATGCTGTCCATCCCTCATCTGATGCTTAAAGGCTTGGCATTGCCTCACCCTGTGACCCTTTGGTCCAACTTGGACCTCGGGGCAATATCCACACGTTTGAACAGCGTACTTTTGCATTAGCTGTATGGCTCCTGAACGCATTTTATCCCACGCTTCCATTCCTATTTCTGCAAATCCTGCATACACGCTTTCAAATTAGCACACACATTGTAGATTGGTGAGATTCACATTCTACACTTCTTTTTCACGGAATACGTGAGAGATTCATAGGTTATATATTAGTATGTGGCGAATCACTAGGTGCAAAATATCCTAGAGGTTCGTATCATATCCCCATGAATCACTCCATTATTTGTATAGCAAAAAGATAATTGACAAGTATAATATAAGCCGGTTCAACTTATGTAAAGTATTATCATAAACCCATCAACACACTCCATTCTTTGTATACCAAAAGATAATTAATGAATATAATATAAGCCAATTCAACTTTTGTAACTGACCTTTCACATCATCATGTGGCAAACTCAAAGTTTTCTCATTTTCAGTTGTGATATAGCCAATTCATAGGTGGTATATATCAGTCTCTGGTGAATCACTAGGTGCATAATATCCTAGAGTTTCTTACATATCCCCATGAAGACACTCCATTCTTTCTATAGCAAAAGATAATTGACGAATATAATACAAACTGGTTCTAACTTATGTAAAGGATATCACAAAGACTGACCTTTCACATCATGATGTGGCAAACTCAAAGTTTTATCATTTTCAGTTGATCTCTTAGTGGTTCCCCAAAAACCAGAGGTCTGTATATGATTTCCGGATGAATCATCCTTGGGAAACTTCTTCTCAAAATCTATCATCTTCCCTGCAACGCGGTAAACAGGGAACTTTCTTCTTCTAGATGGGTAGTCAGGTATGTCTACACCAGCCTGAATACACAACTCCATAAGAGCTGGAATTCGATCCACCTCGAGGCGCTCGTTATGTGAAACAGCTCTCCCCAACCTATCATACATATGAAAAGACTCCACAACAGGCAGTAAATGTTTGACACCCCCTCTCTCCCAAATATGCTCTTTGCTTCTCTGACTACCACTCACAGAACATGTTCTAATCTTATGTGGTGGATCACCAACATGAACTTCCCCACACAATCTGCAGAAAAATAGTTCCAGCAATCATCAAATATGCATTTCCTAATGATTAGTAGAATGTGGCAAATTATTGTGTGGACCATGATCCACACAATGTTACATGGACCATAACAAAAAGTACATTTTTAATATACTAAATGTACATTATTTTTGTACTGAATGTACATTATACAATATAATGTACACTCAGTACAAAAATAATGTACATCCCCTGTATATAATGTACATTATTTTTGTACTGGATGTACATTATTTTTGTATTGAATGTACATTATTTTACAGTATACAAAATATGGTCCACACAACTTGTGTAGTCCACACAATAATGATTGGTAGAATGTGGATTCTGCTAGTATTTCAATAATGGAAGACAATTCCAAACACAATCTGCAGAAAATAGTTCCAGCAATCATCAAATATGCATTTCCTAGTGATCAATCATGTGTATTCTGCTAGTATTTAAGTTTCATTCTAAGTTTATGTTAGTATATATTTATATCTAACAAATTTCACAAATTTGCAACTTCAAAAAGCAAATTACCTGCATGAATAAATAGGAATCTCTTCTGCAACCTTAGAAACACACACAAATAACTCAGCTTTGGCAGCTAAAACCTCATGAGCTACTGGTATTAATCCTTTCACCAACACCCCATTCTCAGGAGGTTTCAGAGGAACCTCACGGGCCTCTCGTCTCTCTTTCTTCTCCGCCCTTGCTCTGCGCTTGAGCTCGTTAACGCCCGTCACCAATGGCTTCCGCTCAGACCTCTTTAGCTTTCTTGGCAACTCTACACTATCCGAAATGGTCGAATACGATGCATCAACACCGTGTATCTCATTCTTGATTATAAAACTCGCGCTGCAGTTTCCCGCTATTAACCCTTTGATGTTAAAGGCCGCTTGGATTCGTCTACGAAACATCGTAGCAAATAAGAGGCGTGAAACTCGAAAGAAAAAAGTTGGTCTTTTTCAGTCGAGCGTTTTGACGAACACTTTCAGTGCTCCTGTCGACTTTGCTCTCACATGCTGGGACTAATGATTAGTTATGTAGATTGATTTATTTCATTGTAAATTTTGATCCTAGGTTGCATACCAATTTTTTTTTTTTTTTTTTTTTTTGGGAGAAGGGTCAAATATGCGTTGAACTTTAGCTTAAAAGTTAATTAGGCCCCTAAACTTTTTAAAGGTGTAATTACACTCATCAATAATTCATTTAGGTGCAATGAAGCACAAAAACAAGTTAATTATCTGCTATCACAGGTCATTAGGGTTCAGGCCACTTTCCGGCAAATTTTCCGACAAAAAAAATGTAACCAACAACCGATTCAGATTTACCGAAAATTTCGCCGGTCATTTCTTTTGTCAAAAATTTCGCCGGTCACTTTTTATTTTTGCCGAAAAATTCGCCGGAAGGTGACCTCCTAATAACCTGTGATAGCAGGTCCTTAATTTGTTTTTGGACTTCATTGCACTTAAATGAATTGTTGGTGGGTGTAATTACACCTTTAAAAAGTTTAGGGACCTAATTGACTTTTAAGCTAAAATTCGAGACCTATTTGACCCTTTTCTCTTTTTTTTTTTTTTTTTTGGTTTTATAAACACACATAGAAAAATAGCCTTAATAGTGTGTATATATATATACTGTATACACACGCGAAAATCGCATAATATACAATACATGTATGTAACATTGACTGCACAACATTAACACTTCACCATTCTTGCCTGGTCCCCCCAATTTGAGATTTATTCATGAGATGAACAACAAAAGTAATCCCTGGTTATCAGTTACCATAGAAATGAAAAGATGGCAATAAACATTAACACTGCATGCCCCCTCCCCGCCTTGACGTTAGGTCCAATTCATTTGAAGATTGTGTTAGTGTGACTTGACCATGATTCTCATATCCGTTTACTAGAAGAAGATCCCTTTTTCTTGGAAGGTAAAGCGAGGCCGAGCTCTTTACATTGCTCTTCGTTTGGTGGCGAATTCAGAAACCCAGTTCCCACATTGTGTATGAATGCAGATGCATCTTCAAGATTAATGTCTTTTAGGCTAATGGATGTGGAGAGAGTAGGCTTTGAGCTCTTCTTCATTGACAGTTTCCGCTTTGGAATGTTCTCCAGCTCGGCTGCTTTCAAAAACCTCTCGGTTGCTGCCTCCCACGAAAGCTCGTGCCTTTGCTCATCGCTCAGGGGAGCAGGTTGCTCGGACAGTGCCTCCCGGGTAGCTTTAACAAAACCGTTGCCATCATCGTATGTGCGGCAGTTTGGGAACTGCATAAAGAATTCGTTCGAGGGATGATTGGCACATACTACGATTTTGCCCATCGCTAATGCTTCTGCTGTGGTTGTACATACGACGTCTGTTGTGCTTGGATTCAGGAGCACTTTATAGCTAAAACAAGCAGAAGAGAGAAAGAAAACAGTCATGGAAATGATTACAGAAGCAACAAAATCCACAAGCAACATAGTAGCAAACTTAAATCTGATCAATTATAAGTTCTCGGTTCAAGTATATGTATTCCAATAGCACTGTTTCTCGAGAAAAGAGACCGACTTCACCATGATAATACGATGGCAGATCCAATACAACACGAGTTCTACTACATGTACTCCCAAATCTTACTCCCTCAATTTTATTTCCTGATGTGGCGGGCTCTGATAAGCTATTTTTCCATGTGGGTCCCAATACAAGTGTCTACATCAAAGTTTTGTGTGTAAGAGTAAAAAATGGGAGTACACATAGCATTTTCCATACAACACTTCCAGTTTACATCTAATGTGTGATACTTTTTCCAACTCTCACCAATGAGGTTTGCTAAGTCGGATGTGAATTAACAGAAGAAAGAAGTTAATACGATCTGGCAAGGGAGTATTAAGTGATTGTATAGAGAGACTAAAACTATGTGTGGCTTAAATGAAGTTGACTACATGAAAGGGAGAAATAATTTAATATAAAATGAAGGATTTTCCCGAAAATAAAGGGACTTTGATTGTAGAAGCCAAAAGGTGAGATATAGAGTACTTACTCGTGGAATATAGGATCAGCATGATCCCGTCCAGGATGAACCTTAATTGTTAATTCCAACTTCTTGGCAGCTTCCTGAATTTGAGCAGAATCCTCACCGCTGCCATATAAATCGATTTCAAGTCCAGCAAGTTCCTTTTGATGGTTGCGTAGAAGTTTTAGTAGTTCCTTGTAGCCTTTGCTCCACAACATCTTTCCAATGTAGTAGGCGCCTTTGGTGAAGGCTTGATTACCATTCTGCTGCTCCTCCTTCTTTTTCACGCCAATGTCAAGAAACTTCGGGTTCACTCCATGGACATTGCAGATAACTGATCTCGGAAGCTCCTGTGTAGCCGCAGACAACCTGATAACCTGCCACCCGCAAAGTAATAGCTTAATTTAGAATTGCGCTTAATCTTTGTGAAGTGTTAAGAGTCCCACATTGATAAAATAAGAGAGAACACATGGGTTTATAAGGCCATGGGTTAGACTAGTTAATTGGTTGGATTCATAGCCCAACCTTAATTTATAACATGAAGCATTTCCATTTCCTCTCTATTCTTTTTGATTATAGTATCATCGTTCATGTTTGTGCAGAAAAATGAATTATTAGCAAATGACTTATGAAAAGTGGGAAAAAGGCAAAAGTGGATGTGAAAAAACATGGCTTCGCCCGGACTCGAACCGGAGACCTTCAGTGTGTTAGACTGACGTGATAACCAACTACACCACGAAACCTTGATGCCTATAGGTCCATGTGTATTCTATTATAACTGTAGAATAAACATGCAAGAAGCATCACCATAGGACGAGAAATGTGCGAGGATATATTACTCAAGGAAAGATGAATGCTGCAGCAGCATCATACTGTTAAACACTTAACGCAACTAAAGTATGATAGTTGATGTTCAATTCAAGATATTAACTTTTACGGCCGCTAAAGACAGAATGGAGCTCATTATTTGGGAAAACAAGTAATCATAGAACATACCCTGTGGCAATATATGTCGACAACCCAAGTATTTACGTATTTCAGGAGCAAAGCTTCCAATACATTCCGTTCTCTCTTAACATATTCTGGGTAATTGGTGTGAACGATTCCTACTACCAGGCGAAATTTTGATTTCCATCTCTTTCCATGATGATACCATGTAAGATGCTCGGGCTCCTCAAGGACAGCAATATCTGCCTCTTCGTCTGGAATTACAATTGTAATGTCCCCCGAACCAAGAATGCTCCTTTTCTCTATAGAGAACTGCAAAGACAGGTAAAAATTCCAGTTAAACATCAAACATTGAACATATATATATGCTAAAAGACATTGAATACAAACTATCAACAATAATGAAAGATCTTGTTGCACTAAGTGACTCCTATATATAAAAGTTCTATCAGTAAATACCACAGGTCAGTAGAAATTAAATCTTGATTTACCTTTCCTGGATAAAAACGCACACTAAAATTTGATGTGAACCCAGTCCTCTCTTCAACCCATCGAAGGACATATTGTTCTTGCTCAGAAGGTGTATTAAACGTGATATTGTTGGGGAACAAGTGTTCTTGATCATTCAAAGACAGCCAAGGGACCACCAAAGTGACCTTCCTCGTCCCATCTTTGGCAAGATAGACAGCGCGAAACAGAGGGTTGACAGCAGTTCCAGTCAACCACGGAATGCTTGCAGTAGTAAATATTGCAATATGTTGTTTCCTTTCCATTTACCATCAAACCAAATAGGTACACGCTTTCTACCCTACCACTCAGATCCAAAAAAACACACTTCCTGCAGCCACAAAATCCAAAGCTATTGCCTGCAATTGTAAATACCATATATTCAGCATGGTTTACAATTATCAAAACTATACACCTTTCAAAAAAAAAAAAAAAAAAAACTATACACACTAAGAGATTGTTTGTAGTAAGGGTTCTCTGAAGCATTTCAAACAATACCGCAATTTTGATAACTAAGCACAGACAGAGAAAACGAGAAATACTCCTAAACAATCATCTTCAGCATGCTCTACAAAGTACAAACACACGCATAGAGCCAAGGGTACTGTCAATTTTTCAAAGAACTCGAAGACTAGCAATAAAACGATCAGGTATAGGTGATTAACCAATTCTCCTTACTCCAAATTGTTTCAGATTACTATTTCTCCATCTTTACGCAGAAACTAAGCCTACTTTACTCTTATATTCATGTATCCCTCTATTGTTTTTCAATGAATCAAACAGACATCACAACCCACATAAATCAATTCCATCAAAACAAAACCAACCAACAAGTTGAATGCTGTTCCCTAACTTTAATCCTTTCATATATTTTAAGCAAAAAAAAAAAAAACAACAAAAAAAAAAAAAAAAAAAAACAAAAACTAGGCCCTGTTTGGTAAAATAGTTAGTCTATCAATCAATTTTGGCTAATTCGACAACTATTAACTGTTTGACTTAGTTAAACAATCAATATGAGTATTTGATTAATTAGCATTTTGTAGCCTTTTCAATCAGTTTTTGAGAAAGTCATTTTGCATGTAATCAACTATAAGCTAACAACTAATTTACCAAACACTTTTCTACAATCAGTTTAATGCTATCAATTAGTCAAACTCACTAACCCAATCAACTAACAACTATCAGCTATTTACCAAACACCCCCTCAATATTACCAGGAAAACAAGAAGAATTCAAAACAACAGCAACATCACAAACATAAACCAAACAAATTAAACTGTGAACAAATTCAACACATAACCATCATAAAAACCACATATTTTTCCAACCCCAACATTAGTTTATAAACTCTACAGGTAGTGCGAATGGATTTAAAATGAAAATGAAAAAAAAATACAAAGATTACACTACATCATGAATGATTAGGCAAGATAACAAGGAAAATACATGGAAAACATCGAACAATACCCACAATTTTTCTCGTAGCGCTGGAAACTTACATGAATTTTGTGGGCAAACAAACGAAGACTGGTCGAAACTTTTTCAGGCGGGGAGTTTCTGGAAGGAAGAAATCCAGGCAAAATTATGTAAGCTAACAATAATTAACAGGTAATACCATAATAATATATATTAAACCCAAGAATATATTAAGAATCCAACCGAGCGCGAGAAACGAGGGTGTCGGAGAGGCAAATATGCGAATCTTGAAAGTGGAATTTGGCAATCTGTCTGTGGTATTGTACAGGAAAGAAGGCACGCGCGGAGCGCGTATGAGTTCGTTTGTAACTAACAGGAAGACGGAAGACCGGGAACTCGGGAAGTTACTAGAATTGTAGAAAATAGGAATACGGTGTCGTATAATATAACGCAAAATATAAGCCGAACTTTTTCAAAAAGAGATTATGCCAGCTACCCTTCGTTGTCTATTGCAATTTCTCTGTAAAAGTCTCTTAATTAATTTTTTATTTGATTTAGTTCCTTAACTACAGGAAAAGTTACCTAAAATAATTCCGTTAGATTTTAGATTAAAACTTCGTTTGAGACAGGATATTCTGAGAATTCTGAATCAGTCTTGAGAACGCTGAATTGCCGAGTAAATCACCCAGGCCTTCAAATAAACTTCATGTTTCAACGGAAAACTCAGTCTCGACAACAACGCCATCGTCAAGCCATAGGAGCTTCATTCCCTGAAGAAATCACCCGCCGAGAGCATGAATCTGCAAAATTTTGAGAATCAAACACTCTACACTACTCACCAGATCCTCGATACGTGGAATTGCTCGTCAATATCAATCCTAACCCGAATTGCGGAGAGAACTGAATCCAAATCCTTCGGAAACGCGGCAAGCGCTTGCTGGATACTGGAGAAAACCTGGAATCTGTTAACCGAAATTGAAAACCTCCACCTGTTAATGAATCCCGAGGACTTCCTCCGGCTAAAGCACCAGCTATCGATCAAAGTAACCGCTTAATCGCCACCGTTCTGCTTCCGATCGAGATGACTGGTGGAAATCACGAAGCTCTCCAAGGATCTGAGGCAGAACGTCCCCGGTGTTCTTAGCGTCCAAGTTGATCCCAACGGCGAGCCGAGGGTTCAGGAGGCCGCGATGAAGATGTACGCGTAGAAGGACAGTTTCGAGAGGATCCATTTGGTTCAAGGCTTGCAGGCAATTAAAATGGGCACGAAGAGATTTTACTATTCGTATAAGCAACGTTTGACGGTGGTTATGGGGATTTGGGGAGCTTGGAAGCGGCAATTGAAATGGACGAATTTACTTTTACTTCCAGAAAACATTTTACTAAGTCATTTTCCTCCTTTCTCAAACGGATCGTTGACGTAAAATCTAACCAATGATTACTTTAAGTAACATTTTTGTAATTAAGAGACTAAATCAAATAAAAAGTTAAGTATAAATAGAAATTGCAACAGTTGAGGGGCTAAAATTGGTACAATCTCTTTTCAAAATTATACTCCTAAATATAACGCAATAGGACGTCGTATAATTTAAACCAATAGATGCTTTAAATAGTGTGGTCGAGTGAGCGGAGCATGACTTTTGTATCTAAAGATTACAAATTCAATTTTTGTCAACACTCCCTCGATTTATCAGGTCGTCACACATAACTTTTATAACGTGGTGTTTTATGATTTGTAATAAGTAACTTTTACCTTGTGTTATAGACTTATAGTGTATATCCTTAATTAGTGATGATCAATTTTTTTATGAGACATACAACTCATAATATTAGTCAAATTTGGTAAGCTATTTTTGGTTTATGTTGCATTGCATTGCAATATATATACCATGATAGAGCCATAAATTTTATTATCATCTCCCTACTTTGTCAAGTTTGAAAGAAATTGTCAATTCATATTAAAAATAAATTTTTAGGTTAGTAATACACCACTAATTACCTTGTGACCATGAAATAATTTTTCTAAATGGGCATGAGTTTGACTCCTAGTGAAGACCATATTGACTCTTTATATTTTAATAGGTTGATAAAGTAGATATAAACAGATATTATATTTACCTTATAATGTTGACCATTGTCCACCAATCGTTATGTTGTGCAACCGTGTGCACCACGCATGGTACCACGCATGGTGCACACAGTTGCAAAACGACATTGTTCCATTAAAAAAATATATATATCTCGTTCGGATCGTCGTTAACGGCGTTAGGCGGTTTCCTCGTATTCAAACACTAGGATATATCCATAATTTCATACCTATATATCCACAATTTCATAACTATATATATATCCACAATTTCATAATTATATATCCAGAATTACATAACTATATGTCGAGAATTACATAACTATATATTCATAATTTGACAACAGTACATTCAGAAATAATAACTACACATTCTTAATTTCATATCCATATATTCATAATTTCACAGCTAGACATTCATAATTACATAACTGCATATTCATAATTCTTAAAGTGCTTGTTCACAGAGAACTATATCCATAATTGCATAACTACACATCCATAATTTCAAAACTATATATTCATAACTTCATAATTATATATTCATAACTTCATTACGAATGGAATTTTTTGTAAAAAAAAAAAAAGAAAAAAAGAAAAAAAGGGAAAAGTGTCAAATAAGTCAATCTACTACTGTCAAGTGTTCAATTCCCACCACGAACTAAATTAAAGTCTAACCTGTAAAAAAAGTCAATTAAACAAATTTAACAGGTAAGTGTGGTTAATTATATTTTAATTTTGTTCGTGGTGGAAATTGAGCACTTGACAGTAGTAGATGAGCCTATTTGACACTTCTCTTAAAAAAAAAAGTAATTGATGGAGTTAAACAATGTCACTAATGACACTATTACTCCATCATAGTAAAACAGTGTCGTTTTGCAACGGTTGCACGGCATAATTTGCGGTTGTCCACCGTAAAATGATTGACGTGCACGTATGCTCTAGCATATCATTGGGCCATGTATGTTGGAGCCACAAATATCTGACCCAATACTAAATTAGTGCTCCATTAATTTAACAAGGTGTATAATCATACCAATGATGAGCTGCCAAGCTGGCAACATGTGATTCTGGATTTAATATTACTACTTTTTGTTAATTTATTTCATTTAAATTAGCCACGCGCTCTACCACTGAGCTAAGAAGGCCTACTCAATAATATGCATGTATAGTTGAGGAGAGGATATTGGATATAAACCAATATATATCTTGTTTGGAAGAATTTTTTTTTTTTTTTTTTTTTTTTTGAAAGTTACTGGCTCTATTACATTGTAGTATCTGTTCATATACTTTCTCAACCTACTGAAACACAAAGAACCAATAACGCCTCCACTGAGGCTCGAACTTATAATCTTCCCTCAGTGGAGGCGTTATTGGTTCTTTGTGTTTCAGTAGGTTGAGAAAGTATATGAACAGATACTACAATGTAATAGAGCCAGTAACTTTCAAAAAAAAAAAAATTTGCTATTATGGTTAATGGATAGCGATGGAATATTAGTTATTGGATTAACCCGATAAGTCCAAATGTCCAATTTAATGGATAAATATGCAGTCTATTATGGTGGATTAATAGTATAGATAATTCATTTGTAGTGTTTATATATTATTTTTTGAAATTTCAATTTCAGTGTATTGTAGATTTATTTTAGTATATTATATAAAAAAACAAATGAATATTTAATATTGTAGGGATATTAGGATTGGGCTTCAGCCCCTAGTGCGTCTTGGGTGGTTTGTGGAGAAGGTCCAGAGGGGGTTGTTAGAGGGCAGCTGTTGTGGAGGAGGTGCCAGGTGGTATGCCGGCTTCCGGCGGCTAAGGCGCCCCAACGCCGTCGGGTGTGCTCTGGGTGCCCCGCTTGCATGGCGGGGCGCTCGCGTCTGTAACACGGTAGAAATGTCACATGTCGTCAGCGGAAGGCAGTTGCAGACGCAGTGCTGCGCGACAGGTATAGGCGACGGGGGCATGCTAGGTGCGTCCTGTGCACCCTGGTGTGTCCTGATTGCGTAGCTTGGCGCCCGGGTAGTTGTGACATGAGGTCATGGGTATGATAGGTGGTGGGGGTATTGGACGACGTGGGACACGTGGTTATGGAGGATGACTTGCATGGATGGTGTACACGTGGAGGGTGCCTGTGACAGTATAAAATGAATGGGGATGGTCTACTTAAAACAACGAAGATCCTCTTGGTTGGTTGGTTAGAGCTCTTGTTATAAGACCCTAGGCCAATGTTCAATTCTTAGTGGTGTCATCTCAAGCATACAAAATTGTGCTATGCGCTTGCATTGTTTGTTTGGGCCAGTAGCTTGTCGTCACATTGTATACTCAATTTATAGTGGATCCGGCCCAATAAAATCATCAAATATATTAAAAATAAATATTTATCAATCATCATTTTACAATGTGAATCATGATTTATAGTGTAATTTGTTCAATTAACCAGTCCAATTTATTTTGACGGTTCCTCCAATAAAATTGGGCTACATGATTTTTAGCCAACTTTTCTATAAAGACCAGCCCGTTTAAGGTAGTAAAATGTAAAATCCAGATCGCACGAATACCGACTTTGGGTCGACCAATGTGGCCCGATTACATTTTTCAATCAAGGCGGTTGGCCCGAATAGGGTCGGTGCAACATTTGGGCGCTTTATCATTTCTGACAAGGCAACAAACCAAGAAACTTTGCAGTGATAGTTGCAGATCGTTAGAATCGGTTGCTTCGTCGCACCCAGTCGAAGAGCAAAACTTTTCCAGGTTTACTTTCTCTCTGCTGTTCTTCTTCCTGCATTTCTGTATGTTAAATATTTAGCAGTTTAGGATCTCTTTTTTCGGATTTATTGTATGGGTAATGGCTATTTGCAAAGCGTCTTGAACAAATCTTCAAGCCCAGAGCGAAAAGAACGCATTTTTATTGTTGAATCGATGTGTTAATGTGGTTTTTTTTTTGCTGGGAACTTCAGTTTGGAGCTTGAAATATCCCAAATATGTTGATGGGTCATGCTGAAGGGCTGCCAAGGCTCGGATCATCCCGGGAGTTTCTGCTTTCTGATCCTGTTTCAGAGATTGATGGCGATGAGGAAGCTGATACTCCTACTGAGATACTATACATGGCTTCCTTTGAGGAACTTGCTGCAAAGAATGTTATGTATGACACCATAATGTGGGTTTTTATATCCCTAATGCTGGTCTTAGCTTGGGGAATTGGAATCTTCATGTTACTCTATCTGCCCATCAGGAGATATGTTCTTCAGAGGGAAATTTCTTCGCGCAAGCTGTTTGTTACTCCGGATAAGATAGTCTATAAGGTGCGTGTATAGCTTGAATGAATTGATGTTTTTGGCTTCTCTTTAGACTATAATGCAGTGATGAACAAGAAATAGCAACTGTTTGTGTTTCACGGCTTGTAGGTGTCAAGACCTTCATTCATCCCGTGTTGTGGTGGAGTGAAATTTGAAAGGCAGGTGCCCCTTTCAAGGGTGATCGATATTATTATTGAACAAGGTATTGAGTAAACTAATTAGGGCGATAGGGTCTGTGGAACTTATATTTTGTATGCATTTTCTTTTCTGTGGTGTGATTGGCAGCATAATTTCTGGCTCTCTGCATCTCAATTTTTAGTATGCTCCTCGTTATTTTTGTGTCTCAAATTTTGTTTACCAGAATAAAAAGGGACATGGAGGAGGGATAGAGGGGGGTGGGGGGGTGGGGGTGGAAAGATTAAGTCAAGGCTCTCTTGTTAATTAGAAAAATCAACCTCAATCTCATGAAAGAACTTCAAACTTGCAATTTTACTGCTCGAACTTTGCTGCAAGAAAGAAAAAATGTTCTCACGGTTTGTATTCACTAGCTACTATGATAATTTGGGTTTCATGCACACAAGCTACTATGATAAGTTTGGGTTTCATGCACACATTCACGCTTATAAAATAATTGGTTAATTTTTGGCACTATTTAGCAACTTCAAATGTATAACCTTTTTGTGTATTCATTGTACTGTTGTCTGCTATTAATAACAATTTTTTTAGGGTAGGTTGCTTGCAGTCAATGTTTGGACTACATACCTTTAGGATTGAAAGCGTAGTGCGTGGAAAACATGCGCCAGTTGATGAACTACTGGTGCAAGGTTTATACAAGCCGGGAATTTTGAGGAAGGTAAATCTGAACTGTTTTTATTCTCTTTGGCTAGGCCACCCGGGTGCCAAGGGGGTATGGGTTTGGTTTTAGAGTAATAAATTAGTTTCTCATGAAGTTGCGCATTTCTCTTGATTCGTCTAATTGCTTGGTCTACGAAATTGTAGTAACTATTTCAAGAATCAAAATAGCAGGTAATTATCACCGAGGCTTCCAAGGCCAGGCAAGAAGTTGGAGGGAGTTGGAAACCGGCAAGTGAAGGAACTGAGGTTGAAAATATGGCCATGACATCACCATCTAAAGCACGGAAGGTAAATAGAAATATGTCTAATCTGTAACATGGAATATTCTTTCACACAAATGGAGTTCCAAATCTTTTTAGGCTCGTGTAGTCATCAAGATATGTGAAATTCTCCATGTTTGTTTGTTTGACTTTATTACAATGTAGTATCTGTTCATACATACTTTTTCAACCTATTGAAGCACAAAGAGACAATGTAGTATCTGTTCATACATACTTTCTCAACCTTTTGAAGCACAAAGAGTCAATGTCCCCACTGGATTTCGAACCTGTGACCTCTCATTTAGAAGAGTCATAGTCATGCTGCTCGACCACAAGGTCTTTGGCAGGAGAATGTGCCTTAATGTTTCATAATTGGAAAATATTGACAATGCAATTGCAGATGATGGGTTCACCACGCCGTCTAACAGCTGAGCAGAGAGGTGTTGCTCCGTCTGAGTTGCTGCTTCATAAGCTCGATGAAGTTAGTGAATCAGTAAAGGTAATCCCCTTCTCTTCAGCACGGTTCTTATCTTCAATATGTGAGGTTGATGTGTCATAAACTTCTGAAGATTACAAGAGAGTAATTCTACTTAGTTCCCAGTGCAATATAGCATTTCTCGCTTTCTGAATTCAAAGAAATGCATCTGACTTTCTCACTTGCATGGCCAGAAACTCGAGTTTCTCTTAGAGAAGCCGCATGCCTCTCCAGAAAACAGCTAATGGGAAGATCACAACAATTCTGATGCTAAGATTTCTGTGGTGTCAAGGAATGGGGAGTTCACAACAACTTTGCTGGGATTCTCTGCAATAGTTTTGGTGCTCTAGTGTTTAGCCTAATGGAGTGACCCAAAAGCGTTGTTTTGCCTAGATCTTTTTTTTTTTTTTTTTGTAAATAAATTTTGCCATTTTATTTGTTTCTCCAATGTTAGTGACTGCCAGCATATGTTAGATTGTCATCCTCATAATCTGTACATCTGAAAGGGATGTAAAAGTAATTCAATTTTTTTTTCCAACCAATGGCCCAATAATCTCTTGGTCTGAACTCATCGCCCAAAGTGCAATTTATCTTGTGTAGTTTGCTGGCTATAACATAAGAACAAGATTCAGAGGTCGTAGTTGTGGGTTTTCTCACCATTCAAAAAATAAAATTCAACATTTTTCTAAGTTACTTATGTTGTTGAGCAATGAGATTAAAATGACAACAATACGATTCAAATTAAATTAAATTTATAGTAATTCTTTATTTTTCAAATCAAAGTATAATAAGTAAATTTAGAGCTGAAGATCTTGTGGTCAAGTGACATAATTTCTCTAAAACATATTGTACAGAATCAATAGTACTCCGTACTAAAAAAAATTATTATACACTGAGGCTCGACACCTAGGTCTCCCACATACGGGAGCAATCCGATACCAGTGAATTACAAGTCACTTGGTACTGTGAAAATGATATATGTACTTTCATAAGTATAATTTTCGTACTTGTATAAATTAATTAAAAGTAAAGTTGACATGGAATAAAAAATAGAGTAAAATATTACTCTTTTAACTGTTTGCCCTCATACGAACAAGGCAACAACATCGGTGAAGCTTCAGAAATCAGAATTGGCAATGGACAATACCAAAAATCTGGCGCAAAGGGTATCTGAAAGACATTGAAACAAACTGAGAGAGAGGGGAAGAGAGAGAGAGAGAGAGAGAGAGAGAGAGAGAGAGATGAGTGAGAAGAAGGTGTTGATAGTAGGAGGCACAGGCTATTTGGGGCAGCACTTGCTACAAGGATTCACTGAGGTCCTGCACTCTCTTCCATATTCTCTCTCACTAGCATTCACCTACCACAGCAATCCTCCTTCTAAGCAATTGCTGGATGGCATTCCCCAGGCTCTCCCTTTTTATGTAGATTTGCGTACTGGAAATGGCTTTGATGACATCTCAAAGAACTTAGGGCAGGTTCAACTCTTTTCTCACTTTTTTAGACCCAAAGATTTGATTTTTCCTCTAAATGAACCTTTTATCTTGTAGTACAGTAATCTTTAAGTCATCCTTGTTTGTGGGCATTTTCCTATTTTTGTTTTGGCATTTAGAGATGTGTACTTTATGGATGCATTCTGATTTATTCTCTTGATGATAGCAGAACTTTACTTTTTTTGCATTGTGTAGATAGAGTGTTATGTAGAGAGAACCAGTTGAGTTGATTTTTTGTATGGAGTCATGTCTGATCTATAAAAATTGGGTCTTGAAGTTTTGCTAATTGTTGATAATAAAGCTAATTTGAAGTGACAGCCTGATATTGTGATTAATTGTGCTGCGCTTTCCATTCCGCGTGCCTGTGAAGCTGATCCTGAGGCTGCCCTGGCTATCAATGTGCCCTATGCTCTAGTTCGATGGTTGTCAAGTTTTGACGAGAACAAAACTTTTCTGATCCATTTATCTACTGATCAGGGTAAGGCATACTGCAAGCGCTATAATGGCAGTGATTTCTATTTATACATTAACTCTCAAGTTTTGCATCCCTTCCATGTTAGTCCAAACAAATTTATGGCTTTTTTTGCATCACGAAAGGTGCTTGCCTTCTATTTGGAATTGCTGATAAAGTGATAAGTTACGTGTTTGAGTGTTTCAGTCCTTGGAGCCAATCAATTTGGTTTTTCCAGTATTGTTCTAAGAGATACTTCATCAACTTATGAATCTTTCCATACAAGTAACTTTCAGCTAAAAGTGGATCAGACTGACAGATTATTCATCTGTATGATATAAAGGAATGTCTCTAGAACTGGAAGGCCTCAAGTTATTAACTCTTTTTAGAATATTACACTTGTGTCTTGAATTTTTGTGGTTGCATAAGGCTCTGACTCCTTTGTTGGTTATCGAGGATAAACTTTTCATCATGCAATGGAAGTACTAGTTTTGTGTCTATCGTTAACTCATCAACGTGAATGTAGAAATTTTTTTTATCTGGAAAATGAAAACGTCATTTATTGTGTAATTTTAGGACAGCACACAAGTTATCACAATGCTTATTACTGGACACCACTTTGGTTGCTGTATCACCTTTAATGGCTTATGCCTTATGCCTCGTAGATTTTGATTATATTGCTCTTACTATCCATGTCCTTACTAATTATAGCTTACTTACACATGATCCCGTCACTCAAAACCTTTTATCTATGTGGAAGGAACGAAACTAATTTAAGGTTACTTTCAGTTTATGAAGGGACAAAATCCTTTTACAAGGAAGAGGATGAGACAATTCCTGTGAATGCTTATGGGAAATCAAAGGTGGTGGCAGAACAGCTTATATTGACAAATTGCCCAAACTTTGCGATTCTAAGAAGCAGTATCATTTTTGGACCTCAGACCATTTCCCCTGTTCCAAAGTCGCTGCCAATTCAGGTATAGTAACTTTGCTTTGCCATTTGCACCTTTATTTTGTTTCGTTTCACTATCTTCTTGTTTCCATTTGGCTACTTTGTCCATTGAAATGTTAATCTCCTATATTATCGATCAAATTGCTCGAGCATTGGGCTTTTTAGCTGATGAACATATATTCCATAAAATTATGCAGTGGATCGATAGTGTCCTTGCCAAGGGGGAAAAGATGGATTTTTTTCATGATGAGTTTCGTTGTCCCGTGTATGTCAGGGATCTAGTAACCATCATACAGACGTTGACTAACAGATGGATCTCAGGTTTGATATACTCTTGAACATCATAAACCATTCCACTTTATCTAAGCTTGATTTTCTGAATGGCTTTTATATTCTCTCTTATGCTTCATTTTGGCCTTGTTTGGTAAAATAGTTAGCCTATAGGCCAATTTTGGCTTATTTGACCACTATTACCTTTTTGATTTGGTTAAAAAATCAATAGTAGTGTTTGGTTAATTAGCTTTTTGTAACTCCAAAATGCTAAAATTCAAAAAGCTGCTCAAAGCAACTTTTTTAATTAGCTTTTTGAGAAAGGAAATTATACCAAACAGCTATTAGTTAACAGCTAATTTACCAAGCACCTTTCTACAATCAGCTAATGTTATCAATTAGTTATACCCTCTAATTAACTCAGCTATCAGCTAACAACCATTTATATCCTATAATCTTTATTGCTCCTTAACTTTACCACATGACTTCTTTGCAATGCTAGAGGTTCGTATATTTTGAATCGTGTTATTGAAATAAGTTTTCTTTTTTCAGTTGTTCCCCATAGCCTAAAGAAATTCAGTAAATACCTCTGCAATTCAAGAAAGTAAAGCAGGAAACGCTGAAACTTGTTTTCAAAGTGATCGAATCATAATGGAGATATATTTGAGAATTTGACATCGAACCTTTGAAATTCTTGTTGAATTTTTCATGGCTAGGACAGTGGTTTAGATAATCGATGGAGAATTGTAAGCTCAAGCTTGAAAACGAGACAACAGGGTGTTAAAGCTATTATTTAACTGAAAATTGTGCATCACTGCTTTACTTAACAGCTTTCTCGTGTAGTAACACTGTTTGAGGTCATGGCTGTTTCCAGAGAGCAAGCCAATGCAATTGCTTGTAAATGTTGGCGGACCAGATAGGGTTTCCAGGGTTCAGATGGCTGAAGCTGTTGCGGAAATTAGAGGCTATAATGCATCATCGATCAACCCAGTTTCTTCATCATCGGTCAGTAATTTGTTTATGAAGAGTAATTTATAGCATCTTTTTTCTCGTTTCGTTGTTACGGGCCGGGATATCTGGAAAATTTATAATTTGGCTTTCTATTAAATGAAAGATTTGGAGAAGAAGCACTCCAGAAAAGCTTCTATTGGGAGAAGAAGCACTCCAGAAAAGCTTCTGCATTTTCATTCTTAAGTTTTAGGCCTGTGACGCGATCCCGGATATCCCGGCCCGTAACATTCGTCTTTCAGTTTTTCCGTGTAATCTTTTCTAACCGTGATTTTTGCAGGTCGACCGTGGTGTGAAGTCCCCTGCAGACATATCCATGGATATCACTAAGCTAATTCAGACCCTCGGTGTTTCACCAACTGGATTCAAAGAAGGTGTCAAGTTGACGCTAGAAGCTGAAGATGCTTCCAAACGCCAGTAAATCATTCTTCCATTCTTTAATCAATGCTTCCCCTTCGGGGCATACTATTCCAGCAAAGTTTATGCAATCTCGTAACTCTTTGATGTGAATAATTTCGACTTGTCACTGCTTCTTGCATACTGCTTACGATTGTTGTAAATGACTACGGAGTATTTTCACGAACCATGAATCAGAGCACAGTGTCACATTCTTTATATCTGCTAGAAAACGGAATAATACTGGAGATACCGGGAACTCGTTAGCCACACGGCTAGTACGCGAAGAACATCGAATTCTCCTTAGTTCTGGAGTTGATTCCATTGTTTATTTTTACTGATTGGTGATTCATAGCCCATTTGCATCTGCACCATTCATTTCCAAAATATGGTCTTATCCTTGTGTTCAGCTGGTAATACTTGTAGTAGTCTGGAATAGAATAATTCCCAGAAATAATGTTGCATCTATGCTCTAAATCTTCTCCCATGAAAAAGAGGTAAAATGATTGATTGGATATCAAGTTTAATGCAATGAATTGATTGCATCTATGCTCTGAATCTTCTCCCATGACCAAAAAGTTTAAATGCTATAAATGGATGGTTCATCTTTGCTCATTACTATTTGTCATGTATTCTCTTCATGAAAAAAAATTAGTTTTTCTACGTATAGTATTCGATATCTCCACAACTATAAACTAATTCAGACTCAGTCTGAGTTGTATTTGTAGAGTTTCACTCCTACTTGGAAGAAAAGACTGGCTTATAACTCTTTATCTTGACACACCTTTAGAAGAGTTGACAAAACTTTTATCACGTCATATGTTATATGATATTTTGTCAAGTTTAGTTCGGACATGGACATATATTACATTGTAACAGAGTCAGTAATACTAAAAAGAAAAAAAAAAAAAGATTGTGGGGGTGGGGGGAGGCATTATCTAGTCTAGGTATGAATTGAGAGGTGAAAATTCCTTTTAAGTATGGCATATGAGGTGGTATGAAATCTCTGATGAAGATGAGAATAATTCTTGTTAGTCAATAACTAACCTCTTATAAATCAACTGGCAATTCGAATCTGGTACTTCATAGATTTGGGATGATATTATTTTTATTTAATGATGATTTTTTTTTTTTTTACTACAAAGGAATGGGGACACTGACATATACACAATATTCGCATAAACACTAGACCTCCTACATAAGGGAGCAAACCGAATACCAGTGGACCACAAGTCACTTGGTTATGTTGATTTTTCTTTGATAAAATGTTCTCGTTTTGTTTTGTTTTGTTTTGTTTTTTTTTTTGTTTTTTTTTATTTATTTACATTTTTTATATTATAATTTATTCGGTTAATTTAAACTTTAAATATTGTTGAACATGAGGTAATGCTTAAGAGCTGTCTCTGAAAGATAATGGAGTCCAATTAAAACTTGATTAGATTACTTTATTAAAAGATGAATAGAAAATGTTGAATTCTTTAATACAAGTCAATACTGAAGTGAAATGTGTTTAAGTAAATCTATTTGGTAATAAATAAGAATTGAATAAAAATAAACAAATAAATAAAAATTAAAATTAAAATATATAATACAAATACACACACACACACTATATATATATATATATATATATATATATATATATATATATATATATATATTAAAATTTCATATTTAATGCATAGAAATTATCTTTTTATTTTTCTTTTTTCAATTTTTCTCCTTTATTTTTAATTTCATTGTTCAAAATGGTAGATGAAGAAAAGATATTGAGTTTTATAATTACTATTAAAGAATTTGATTCAAATGCCAAAGATCTTGTGGTCCAACGGCTCTAAATTTTTCAAAAGAAAAGTTACAAGTTCGAACCTTAATGGAGGCATTGACTTTTTATGCTGTCACAAGTTCGAACCCCGTGAGGACATTAGTTCTTTTTACTTTATTAGGAAAAATGTAATTTCTTTTTTTAAATGAATGAATACTATTAAAACTTGTAACAAAATAAAAAAACTCCAACCAAACACACCCCAATACCAATGGAGTTGTGAACTCCCCTAGTTAATGGCAGAAGAAACTTTAATTAGTCTCTCTTAACCTGGACCCCACCTACAATAACAAAACTTTTCACCTAAAGTGATACTAAATTATTCGAATAAAAGACTATTTTTTTTCTTGGTTTTTTTATTATCTAGCCAAATTGATACATTCAATATAATAACCTTCTTAATTATGAGAATTTTGAGCAGTAAATTGGTTTATTTTTTGTTAACTAAAGTTACAAAACAGATCAAAAATCAAATCAATAATTAGGTTTTGTCCGAAATGAATATAAGACCTAAAAAAATTTAATGCTTTTCCAATAAAAAGTATGACTTTCAGAAATCTAAATTCTTAAAACGTAAAATTTTCATCACCTTTTCAGCATATATAGTTCTGTCAATCTGTGATGCCCCTCTTGCCCGAAATTCTCTCTCTCTTGCCCGCAAGTCTCTCTCTCTTGCCCGCAAGTCGTCGTCGTCTCAACTGCAGCAACCCAGCAAGACTGCAACAGTCAGAGATACACGCAGTAATAATAGTAAACTGGAAAAAGTTAAAAAAAAAAAATCAGGGAGAATTTATACCTACTGCTACTGGCTACTGGCTACTGGCTACAGAAGTATAAAAATGAGGTGCTGAGAAGGGATCTGAAACCACCACAAGAGCAGAGGTGAGCGAGAGAGTGTTTGGACCACAATTAACTCACACAATGTGGAGAGCGGCTCGATCTGCGGTGTCAAGTCTCCGCCGCCGCTCGCGGTGGTACTCCACGGCGATTCCGGGACCGTGTATTGTCCACAAGCGCGGTGCTGATATTCTCCATGATCCTTGGTTCAATAAGGTCTGGCCTTTTGCTATCATTTCAGCTTTGCAGTGATAAAAAAGTTCATTTTTAAAAAATAAATTTACTCCTTTTTGTCTGTTTTTTTTTTTTGTTTTTTTTTTGGTCTTTGCAATTCGTTACAACTTTTGGATTGTCTACATCTTGTCTGAATCTTGATTTCATTGGGAATTCCTGTCAGTTAGGTTGTTAGTTTATTTTTCTCTTTCAAGTCTATTAGTGGAGTCAACGTTCTTGTCAAAGTTCCTGTTTTTCTGTAATTGGTACTCCATATCACATATGGGTTGAGTCTGTATATTTATTTTTAAATTCTTTGTTTGTATGTGTGTGTTTTGTGGTGGTTGTGGGGGGGGGGGGGGGGGGGGGGGGTTGTGAATATTAGGATGAAAGTTCAATATACTTTACCATACGTGCTGGCATAAACTACATGTGCTTAAAAGAAAGGCTTGCAATTTGCTGGCTATAAGAGATGGATGCATCTTAATGTTTTGTTAGGATCAATGCCATTGGTCTTCATGCTTGGGATTCCTTGACAGTTTGTGTGTGTTGTGTGGTGGTGCTTATAACTATGTTAGTTATAAGGTATGTTTGAGTTGTAGATTGACTATGCATGGTAGAATTCAAGAATTGATTTTTGAAATTGAGGACATCTCTAAGTTACTTTCGGAGTAGTGGTTCCTCAACCGAACATTTTAATATAATGTTTGTGTCTGCAAATTTGAGCCTGTCCTAATGTGCTTCCCAAAAAAACCAGGATACAGGCTTCCCTTTGACTGAAAGAGATCGACTAGGACTTCGTGGTCTACTTCCACCACGTGTTATATCTTTTCAACAGCAATATTCTCGTTTCAGTAAGTTAAATATTTTCTGTGGTCTCTCTGAAGTTTTGTTCATCAAAACCTCAGTAGGATTTTCCTTGATTCTTTGATCATGTGTACGGCAATTGGACATTGCCCAGTAAATCTTGAGACCTCTGGTCAACAATTAACGTCTTTGTTTTTCATTTTCTGATTGAGAAAGAAATGCTTAAAAATAATTGAATGCACATAACTATTAGTTATAGAATAGTTGTTAATGGTCAATTTAGGCGGCGGGAAGTGACTTGAGCATCTTTCTTATGGAGTATATTTCTACTTTCTTCCTTTTTCCTTTTTTTTTTTTCCCATGCTTTTTATATATATTCTATTGTATCAGCCGAGATATAATTTCTGTTTACATCCACCCTTTTTGTACTACCTGTTGATTAATTTTGCTCACTAGGAAATGACTATAGATCAAAATCATCAAATGTCTATCACTCTGATTCTATTCTTTGCATTACTAGTGGAATCATTTCGATCTCTTGAAAAAAATACTCAAGGACAACCAGAGAGTAGTGTATCATTAGCAAAATGGAGGATCTTGAATAGATTACATGACAGGAATGAGACACTGTACTACCGAGTAAGTCTGCTGATATATAGGTTTTATGATATTATATAAGTAGCTTTTGAATTGATATTGCCTTAGGATGACTTTGTTGCCTTCTTTTCAGGTTCTTATTGATAATATTAAAGATTTTGCTCCTATAGTATACACTCCAACGGTGGGATTGGTATGCCAAAACTACTCAGGGTTGTTCAGGCGCCCACGTGGGATGTATTTTAGCGCCAAAGATAAGGGAGAGATGATGTCAATGATCTATAACTGGCCTTCTCAACAAGTATTAAGTGAACCCTGCTTTATTGCCTATTTAAAATTTACTACTTGCTTGTTCTTAAATGAAATTGAATTATCACTTAATTTACTGATTCTACAAAAATTTACAACAAAAACTTCTTAGGTTCGCCTTTTACTTTTTGCATTCCCTTAAACTTGACCATATCTACCATTGTTTACGAAAATCATTATTGTATATAAATTTGGTTTGCCAAAGAAAGGTCTATTTTCAATTATATATTCTGAAATGAATTCTAAATTTCATTTTCCAATACGATAGAACTTTTGGTTACTGCATGCTTAAAGTTTCTGGGGTTTCACATTATAAAGCTAGAGCATTTAATGTAATCATTTGTTTCAGACTTTCAGCAGTAAAACCCTTTTCATTCTTTTTTCCTTGTAGGTAGATATGATTGTCATTACAGATGGAAGTAGAATTCTTGGTCTAGGTGATCTTGGAGTTCAGGGAATCGGCATACCGATTGGCAAACTTGACATGTATGTTGCGGCAGCTGGTATCAATCCACAAAGAGTATGTGCTCTCCATGTGCATGACTTTAGAAGCCATCTGCTTATTTTTCATATGAGGTTTGACGTGATATATGCATATAAGATGCATGCTACAGCCTACATGGACACAGTAATTATGCGGATGATATCAACCACATTAGAAAATGACACATTGTTGTGTGTTCAAGCAAATAACATTTGATGCTTATTTTATTCTAACTGCCATTTTGGTCATATTATGTTCATGGATC